CAGGTGGAGTTCGCCTCACCTCATGTCAGGCATCTAGTCACACTGAGCTCCTTTCAGGGTCAGTGCAGAGAATTAGGGACTTCCAGGGCAACACTGAGTTCATGTCTGTAGATGTCGTCACAGACATCTGTGCTTGAAGTCAGTCATGGTCTGTGCATTTCTCTCCAACGGGTGAAAGGGTAGCCCAGAGTGGCTGGCTTGCGCAGGGCGTGTTTTTATGCAGTCAGATGGACGCCTCCCTCTAAGCTTTAAATTCTTTCATTTTCAATATGTTCATAGCGTGTTAAGAGTGATTTAGCTGTCTTAATTTAACTCCTGTTCTCGCTGATTTGAATGAAGGCGTTTTGCGTTTCGGTACCTTCTCCAGTGCTATAATCTGAGCATTTCACTTCATGTTTGCAGGGCCTGGAAGAGTAAAATCTTGGTCTGATAATTAGAATTTCAAGGTACTGTGGTAAAAATGGCAATAATGAAAATTTGTAGAATAGTTTTAACACTTCTGTTTTGCAACTAAAGTACCAGTGTGTGATAACTTAATGGAGACGCATTAAATCAAAAGCAATGCAGAATGAATTTAATGGTAAATGTGAATAGCTGTGTTTTGTTTACATTTGCTAGAAATTAGTGTTTAAATTGAGTGCTTAACTGTTTGGAAAAGAATGAAGGATGTTACATTAGTATGTTGAAATGATACTGTTCTGTCTCCTGCATTTTGCACGGAGAACAGTAACAATTTTTTGTGGTGGAAGCTACTAAGTCTGTAGGGTTTTATGTAATTGAATATTAGTGGTCTAGCTAGGGTTGTTTCGACTGTGCAGCAAGATTTCAGTTAGACAATAGTACTGTAATTTGAAAAAGTAGTGAGTTCCTGTTATGGTTTAATGACTTTTTCCTGGAAGAAAAACTGGCTTATCACGGTAATAATTAATACCTGACTCTGAAGAAGTACTTCATTCTGCTAGAGAAATATTTATGTAATGGTTGAATCAAAACTTTGGGAAATTGAGACGACTTTTAGACCTAAAATTAAAACCTTAATACAGAGAAATTGGAGTGGTGTTTTGCTTGTTTGGGGCTTTTTTTGCAATTAGAACAAAGGTAGTTAGGATGGATCAGATGACATCTTGATTGTGATTTGTTTTAATAGAGTACATATAATATGAATAACTTTAGTAAAGAAGATTTTCTTAATGTGCAGATTGTTGGAAAAAATAATTGTGCTAATATCTGTCTGGCAGTAGCAATTCATGTCTCCTCTCTGCAATTGTATTTTTTCTTCCCTCTGGTTCAATGAAATATTAACCACAGCCTTGAATTCTTTGGGGCTTACTTGCTTTGTCACATTCCCTCGTTGCTGCGTTTATGTATATCATGACTTACATGAGTGGTTTCCAGTTTTGGTTTAAAAATAATTTAAAACTTTAAATTATTTGGACCTTAAGCCTTTTATATAGAGTGAGTTTCTTTCAGGTTTTCAGTTTCATTAGCAGATTCTTTCAGCAGATCAATTTCCAGCTGTCACAATTAACGCTGGCATTGCAGTCATGACTAAAAAATTTTAACTGTGAAAATCTTTCTGAATCAATTATGAGCGGTTCTTTGTCAGGTGTTATAACTTCTTCATAAGATGTTTTCAGTATTTATTATATTTATTAGGCATCATGCAGTGTGCATATGGCTTTGCCTTTTTTTTTTTCCCCCCTGTCAATTAAATTCCTGTGAGAAAGCCCGTAATTTGTAACAGGAAATGTAATGGAGTTAATAGGAAGTGTACAAAGAGTGGCAACTATGGCTAAAACACAATTTAACAAAGATTTTTGGGAAGGGCTGGATAAGTGTGCTTAACTTTGCATGTTAATATTTCTATTGATTCTGTGTATCCCAAGTGATACCAATCCCAGGTGATTAGAAGTAACTTTTCTTTGTCAGACCGTAACACAGAAGAGAACTTGCAGCATGTTATCACTTTGTTTCTTTGTATTATGGATATATTTGTGAATTATAGTCCTAGACCAAGACTTTGCATTAGATGTGGTATAAGCATGAGAGAAGGAAGGGAAGGTAGTTCCTGTCTTAGAGGAAACAAGACGATGGGTGGCTGCAGGGAGAAAGACAGGACTAACCCAGGAAATCATGGATCGGTTGTTGATCATTGTGTTTTACTCAAGGATATGTGGTTCTATTAGAAATAAGTGATTTCATCAAAAATACAATATCTTGTACTTCTAAAGACTTAAGTTGTTCTCTGGGTTGTTGCTTGATAACTAATTTTTCAGTTGTGTTAGAGGGCAAGAGTACCAGTCCTGTAACTGGTGAAAATTTGAGCGAGTTCTTGGCTTTCTAGCGAGTGTGAAGAGCCAAACATATATTGTATTTAATGCCTGGAGTGTAATACCTTAATCCAGTAGTTGCTTGGCTATAGAGACTACTCCCAGGCTGTAGGATTTTAGATATAGTTAATTGCATATATTCAAGAAATGTATAGAATTATTTTGTTGAACTACGATGACAGTCCAACAAATTTACGGATTGTACTTAAATGCAAGTCTTTCTTGCTAGTGGCAGGACACATATAATTAATAATTTACATCATGCTTTTAACCGTGGCATAGCCCTGTGCAGTTTGTTTATATATTACTTTCATTATTTGCATTATACTATATATTTTGTGTACCCCATACATAGTATTCATTATTTGTATTGCTTTGGTATCTGGGATCCTAGGTAAAGACCAAGATAGTATTCTGTTCATTTTTTGTGCATGCCATAAACAGAACATCATACACCAAAGGCTTTATTGTAAAACAAAAGACAACACAGAAATACAAGCAGATACGGGACTATAAAGAAACAATGGAGGAAACATAGATCAGTGCGTTAAATAGCAGTTGCAGCTTGCCAATGGCCCAATTACTGCGCAAGTGTTCTTCTGTAATAGAAAAGAAATATCAAGGAGTGCTTTGCAGGGAAATAGAAGGAGGTTTTATGGATAGTTGCTGGCAGTTTCTTCTGAATACAAGAGCAACACAGGAAAATCTGTAAGGCCAGTGTGTTTTCAAGCAGGCAAGACAGTGCCAAAGAGTAGTTTCATTACTTTAATTCCTGAATATCCTAACATTTTGTTACCGAATGGGAGAGTTGTGTGAGTTTTCACAGCACCATACTGCCTTACCTTGTCTGGTTTTGACATACCAGAGAAGGGATATATGTAAAATTTATGCATATTGTCATATGAATATGAGAACCTGAAGAGAGATCTGCGTTTAGGAGGGTATTCTGGTTTTGAAGCTTACAATACACAGAGAAAGGAGATTGGGCTTATGAGAAAGATAAAAAGATCGCTTACATACGTTATCTATAAAATTAGTAAAAAGATTGGAAGGGACTTTAGTGGGACAAGTTTATACAGTACAGATACAGTTTATCATCAGTCTCCAGGGTAGGATCCACGACTATTTTAGTCCTTTCTACCCTGTTCTTAACGCCTTCAGCAACAGTTATCTGAATCTCACACTGCAAGTGAAGGCCATTATTCCTTGTCCTGCCACCAGCAGAGAGAGTGTGCTGTGGGGTTTTTTTTGGTTTTGCATCATGTTGGGTTTTGGTTTGGTGGTGGGTTTTTTGTTTGTTGTTGGTTTTGTGGTTTGTTGGGTTTGGGTTTTGGTGGTTTTTTTTGTTGGTGTTTGGTTTGTTCTGGTTTTTTTTTAAAAAAAAAAAAACCTTCCTTATTGAAAGAATCTGGTAGGTTTTGGAGACTGTTATCTATTTTCTTAATTTCAGTATCTAGGAAGGACAGGTGTTGTGTGACACTAACAGACAGACCTGTGCTGTCAATAGAAGGATGGTTTTGTCCTTTCAGCTAATGCTTCAAAGTATAGCTTAAGAATATTTTTATGGGAAACAGGCCAATGCAGGTAGAATTTGGGTTTTTATGGGCTGTGGCTATCTCTTTTATTCTGGTTTGTTTTTTTTTTTTCTTTCTCTCTGTTTCTTTCTTGATTTTTGGTTTTGCTATAAGCTGCTTCATGGAGGAATGTACTTGTACATTTATAGAAATTGAGGAGGAGTTTAAAGTAACACACTGTAGGAAAGGTTGCTGTCAAACATTTATTTTGATTTATAAGATCTACTGAGTCTAAAACCCGGTTCCAAAACTCAGGGAGGAGGTAAAGCTGAAAGACTGTTTTCATGTTGGAAGCGGGGCATGCTTAATAATGAGGAACAACCTTAGTATCATTTGAATGACACGATAATAAAAGAATTGTGGTAAGACGTGTTTATTAGTTGTGTGAGTTCAGTCTCCCCTAATGTTTTACTATTAATATTCTAGAGGCAAATTTGACTGATCAAATTTTATCATTCCATATTTTCTCTTATGTCTCTTGAATGTGTGTGTTGTGTATATTGTGTGTATAATGATATACTAAATCCTGCTGGTCTGCAATGTGGCTGTCCTTCACAATTTTAACTCTTAAGGATGCTCAAGTGACATGGAGGAATGGGACACAAAGACCAATTGGACTAAGGTCATACTGAGAATCTGTGGCACATCTCCTGGTTCTGTGCTGACAACTGGGGTTGTATAATAATTAAAAATAAACAATTTTGGTGGCATTTCATAGGAATTAATAGTTCTTCGCTGTGCTAGAAGAAACAAGGAAACCACGCAGTTGATTTTTTTTTCTTAATATACGTAAGGCTATAGATGCAGTTTTGAGTGTGCAGAAGGAAAAGACCTGCAGTGTGTGGCGCATTTTACATGAGGGATTAAATTCTTATCTGGTGTCTAGTTCATTTTCGGTCTCTTGATTTAAAATACCAAGTTCAGTAAGCCTTTAGGTATCAGATTAACACTTTTTCTGATGTTCATCCTACCAAAAAATTGTAGTACTGTGATTATGCAATATTGATGGCATTGCATCCTTTTAGAAAGTATTGTTTAGTAATAAGGAATAAAAACAGAAAGCATTTGAATACCTTTTTTTTTCTGTGTTTTTCAGATGGTGGTAAAAACCTTCATGGATATGGACCAGGACTCGGAGGATGAGAAGCAGCAGTATCTCCCATTAGCCTTGCACCTTGCATCTGAATTCTTCCTCAGGAATCCCAATAAAGATGTACGCCTCCTTGTAGCATGTTGCTTGGCTGATATCTTTCGTATATATGCTCCTGAAGCTCCATATACTTCCCATGACAAACTTAAGGTAAGAATGTTTTGTAAAATAAAGGCTTTCTTCCTACCTCTTTCTCTTACTGAGGAAAAAACCCACCACCACTCCCTCCCTCCCCCCCAAAACCAAACTAAACAAAAAAAGAAATTTTACTTGTGTTTATACTGATGTTCAGTTTTATTAAAGAGATGTTGCTTTAGTCCTGTGGGTCAGCGTAGTACTGCAAGGACCAGAGATGTGTAAAGGAGCACTAGGTAACCAGTATCTGTGTTGGTGATAGCTTTCTGTCAGTGCCTGAAAAAGACAATTTAATGTTGTCATATCATGAGTTTGTAAATGTGGGTAGATGTCACTACTAAAGGGTTGTGTTTTTACTCTCTGCTGAATCAAGCTTGTAACACTTTATCATTTCTTGACAGGACATATTCTTGTTTATTACAAGACAATTAAAAGGCTTGGAGGACACGAAGAGCCCTCAATTTAACAGATACTTCTACTTGTTAGAGGTAACACAATAATTGTAACTTTCAGTAGATGGTATATGCTCTGTAAGCCTAAGAAATGTAATCAGTCTTTCTCCAGATGTGCCAGTATGCCTGGGAAATTTCTTTTATTCTGTAAATCACACCAGACTCATTAAAGTTCAGTGGGTTGCTCCTTTTAGCAGCTATAATTCTGTTTGTATTTAATAAGTTCATGCAGCCTATAGTTGAGGACGTGTTAAAACGATTGGTATTTATTAACATTTCACCTTTGTCTTACAATTCTATACATTACTTTTCATATCGTGCACCCTTAAGGTTATATTACCTCATCAAGAGAGAATTTCAAATGCTGATTAAAATACAAATCTGCTTATATTGGTGATGGGAGAAAGAACATAAGTTTTTGGTTTAAAAACATTAGAAAAACCTACTCTTGGCAAGAAGTGTGGGGGTTTTATCAGTGAGCGTTTAGAAACAGTAGCTTGTTTGTAAACCTTTTATTGATGTTTAAAACTATTGTTTCATAGTATGAAGAAAAAAGTCTAGAAACTTACATTAACTAGAGACTTATATTAACAATTTCTGTCAATCTGCTTTTATTCCTAAGAAATCAGATTATTCTATATTTAGTTTTTTTCTGGATATATATTGCAAAGCCTGTTGATGTTAAGAGCTCTTTATATGCAAAGCAAATATCTAGTCTCTTTCACCAAAGGGTTTACAATCCATTGTTTAGTATTTTTCCTTAAATAGAAAAAAATCTAACTAATGTGATTATATTTGTGTGACTTAATGTGAATTTGTAATATCCTGAATATCCTATTTTTGTTTCAGAATTTAGCTTGGGTTAAATCTTACAACATCTGCTTTGAGTTGGAAGATTGCAATGAAATTTTTATTCAGCTTTTTAGGACTCTTTTTTCAGTTATCAAGTAAGTTGAATTGCTTCAATTATATATCAAACTGTCAAAATACCAGTTTTGGGGCTAGACTGAATCCTTGCATAGTCTACAAATAAATAAGTCTGAATAGAACAAGTTTATATTCCTCCACACGAGGAGATACAGGAAAAGCAAATGAGTTAAATTACTGACAATATGGAGGGGGGTGTATCTAAAAGTAGACGTGTTTTAAAAACTGTTGTCCATGTTATAACAATATAGTTCATTCTGACTCATTTATCTACTTTTGTATTTCCATGCTTGTTGTTTTCTTCTTTTTTGTTTTGTTTCACTTCTTAAAGCAAAGGTAGGGTATTCTAGGTTTTTGAAGCTTTCTGTAAGAGAAGAAAGGTACATGAAACAGGTTTTGAGTTTTGAGATGTGGAGAGTTTAAGGGAGGGCAAACTGAACAGCATTAGACATTGTTTCTTAACAGTACTGTTCATATTTGTCAGGCTCTGAAAATTTAGTATTGATAATATTCTTTATTATCTTAGTAATAGCCACAACCAGAAGGTACAAATGCATATGCTGGATTTGATGAGTTCTATCATCATGGAAGGCGATGGAGTAACTCAGGAGCTGCTGGACTCCATTTTGATTAACCTCATTCCTGCACACAAGGTCTGCAAAGTAAAATGTTATAGTAGTATACCATTATAACAATAATTTTTATTGCCTCTTGCTTCTTGTTTATCTCTCCACATACTTTAGCCATCACAACTGGGGTTTTTTTTTCCCTCACCCTTGGTAACAGTGGATTGAAAATTTCCTTTGGGAATTGTTTGGCACTGTTCATTAGCTGTGTCTAGATTATTCAGTATCAAGAGATTCTGCCTACCTGCCACCTCAGGAACGCTGTACAGAAACAGAAATAAAATATTTTCAAGCAAATGTAATAATGTAATAGGAAAACATTATATCATAAGGGTTGTGGGTTGTTGGTTGTTTTGGGTTTGTTGGGGTTTTTTACTTGAAAAAATGTGAAGAATTTATTTAAAAAAAAAAAAAAAGAAAAAAAAGACTTCTCTAGGACTTCTGTGATGACTTGCTGCTTGCCTCAGCTTGCCAGTCAGGCTCCCTTCCACCTCCCTGGTTGGTTTTTTTTTTTTTTTGTTTCTCCCCAGTGTCTTTCCCCCTTAAACTTTTTGTTCAATAAAACCTAATTATTACCTGAAGTCTAGTACTTCCCTTTATTTTTTTTTTTTAAGTTACTTAGTTGGTTGCTTTTAGTGCTCCATATTCTTTCATGAGTTCCATAATCTTTCTGCCCTTTGCAGAGTTCAGCATCCCTTTAGCTCACTTATAAGTGACACTCCTCCTTTCTTAGAGGAGTCTTAATGCTGGCCCCTCTTCGCAGATTGCTGCTGTCATGCAGGTGTTGTCTTAGCCCATCTACACGGCTCCTTCAACAGGTTTTCCAGACTCCCCCTTTACAGTCAGCTTCGTGAACTGTCACTGATGCTGTTATTCTGTTTTCATTGTGTGACAGCTTATCTGGTCACTGGCTCTGCAGTTGAGCTTTTTGAAGTACCTTTACCATAATGGCTAAATAAAGTTGAAAGGAGAATAAACACAACTCATTTAGTCGTGAAATTGGGGAAAGGCTGGTGTTGCCTTGCGTTGACCAAGAAAATTCCCCTGCTAAAACACTTGTGCTTCTTACTGAAAGTTCTATGGAGAACAGTAAGTTTCATTTATGAGCTACAGTAAATGAACTGAACTCTGATTACCAAGCATATGTTTTTGTTTGATCATTTATTAATTTAAAATAATGACAAAATTACAGCAACTCCATCCATGACTACATAATTAAAGTAAAATTAGCACAGAAAAGCAGGGATTATTCCTTTGGTTACCTAAAGAGGGAGAATTCATGGAAATGTATAGCACAGGAGCGACTAAGCCATGGCCATTGTCATTTACCTGTGAAATCTCAGCATGGGGTGTGTGAAAGTATCTATGGTCTGAGGCCAGTTTGCATTCCTTCTGTCATGACCAGGAGATGGGAATATCATTCTGTCAACTCATTTTTATTGACAGCAACGAGATGATGTCTTACTAAAACTGCTAACAGGAAGGGAGACCTCATATTCGTAACAATAGAAAAAGAGTATTTTTGAAAATACACTGTTCCTTGCAAGTTGTTTATAATCAATTATAGGCAGTAGAGATCAGGAGCAGAGAAGTTATGTCAGGTTGCTGGGTGATGCTGTTAACAATGGTGGGCATTGCTCTGAGGATGAAGCACCTGATGAACCTTGTACAGCTGAACAGTGTATTGTGACTACTTGGTGTAGGCAAAGTAAAAGTGAACGTGATCCTATAGCATTAACATTGTTAGCTTGATCATAATTTTGCATAATGAAGGAAATTCTCGAGCAAGGCTCTGATAAAGAGGGAGGTAAACTTGGTGTAAATACTGGGTTGTACTGCATCTTCAGTGTCTCTTGGAGGGCTGGTGGCCAGTCCTTACTGGCTCTTGGCCATCATGACTGAGCAAATAATATGCTGTAAACAGTGTTCAGTATCATACTTTGGTCAGTATTTTGGTCTGGTTTAGCTTGTTTGTTTCCTGTAACAACAGAACTTGAACTACTGCTTTACCATGGAGTTAAAAAAAAAAAACCAAACCAAACAACAAAAAAACCCACACAACACAACAACAAAAAACCCAACCAGAAAGTTCTTTTGTCTGCTCTGCCTAGCAGAGTTTGACTGCAGTAATTATGTTCTCCTTTCATGAACAGATCTCCTAGGAAATTCTGTGATTGTATTGTTTGTCCTTAGGTATGTAAATCAGAAGCACCATAGCTTGAAAAGCACAGTTAATTTTCTTGTAGAGAACATATAATAACAATACTTTTATGTCCGTGCAAAGCAATTGAATACTAGTCATTCTCTGCTATGACATAATAAAAGTATCAGTGTGGCTAGACTGTTACGCTTAATGGAAGTTTGTCTTTGTAAAGGAGCCGAAATATGTGTTTTGGATATTGTATTCTATTCCTTTTTGGGTATTTTTGGTGTGCCTTTTTTTTTTTTTTTTTTTTTTTTAAACTCTCTCATGTTGTGTAAGTAAAAAAAGAAATACACCAGTACCTAGACATGAAGTAGAGTCTACCTTGGCATCTAAAATATATTAATTTGTACCTCCATTATCAGTAAAGTAGCTTTACTGTACATTGTTCTCTCTGTGCATGCTAATGTGGCTCTCCTCTAGTAAATCCAGGTTTTCAGTAGCAGTATGGTATGTCACATTTTGCTCAGACTGCCTATGGCATCAAACTGTAGTTCTTTTTATTAACTTTAAAACCAGTGCTATTTAGTGAATATTTTTCTTCACACTCTTACTATCAAGGTTATTCCTTAAAAACAAGTATTTCATTTATTTAAAATCAGTATATTCTTCTGCATCCTCTACAGCATGGCCAATCCAGACCTTCAAGGGTTTTTTTCTCCTAACATTATTTATTTATTATTTATTAATAATTGTTTATTTTATCAATATACATTTCCTTTCAAGGCTGTTTTGGTGTTGGGTTCTTTGGGGGTTGGGGGTTTTTTGTTGTTTTTGCTTGCGTTATTGGTAGGTTGTTTTTTATTTGTTTTGTATTTGGGTTTTGGGGTTTTTTTAGGTCTGGTGAGCGTGCCTAGGGGAAAAGAACCCACAACTTCATTGCCAGAAACCTTTGAAGCTGTATTGAAGATCCAAATAAAATATATCTTCTGTATGAGGTTGGCAGTCCTTCAGTTTAATATAGACATACCTGCCAACAAGATTTTAATCATGGTCTGCTTTTGAGAGAAACATTTTTTTTGAATTTGAGAAGAGTTTATACATACATACCTGTCTGTCTTCTATAATGAGACATCAGTTTAGTGCTATGGTGACTGAGGAGATATTTGGTTGAGCCTTTGGCTGTTTGTTTCTCTTTACTATTAGTTGATAAACTGCCTTTCGGTTTGTCATCTCATCAGCTAAAAGAACATGAGGGAGTCATTCTCAGTGTAGACTTGCCAAATACTGTCTTTCCAAGAATCAGTCATCCTTCGGCTTTACCTGTATTTTGTCTGCAGTCATTTGTAATTTTCAGGGCAATCAGCTAATCCGCCTTCCTTTTTTTTATTTTTTTTCCCTCCAAGTTACATTAATCCCTAGATGAGATGAGATATTGCATATTGGATTTTGTGCAGATTTGGACAGTCACATTTTTCAAACGTGCAGTTACATTCCTTATCTTGCTCAAGAGTAATAAAACCAATGTTTAGGTTTGTTAGGTTTCAATCAAACATTTACTTGGGAAGTTTGCAGCTAACTCTGCCCAAGTATAGGTGCTTTCTGTGGTCTGTCTCAGAGCATATAGCACAGTCCATGGAGAAGTCAGTGCACAGTTTTACCCTCTAGACAAGGCTGAACTTTGCTACAGAGTGTACCTTTAGTGAGTATGTGAGGGGGAAACAAAACCACATTTAAATAGTAAGTTAGACTAGTTCATTTTTCAGTGGCAAAATTTGGTGCACGTAATTATCAAAGTATGGAGGTGTGGTAATGTTTCTTCAAAATTTTTAATGGGATTGCATGTGAAAACTTTTTACAGATACAAGTGCAATACTAAAGGAGTGGAACTGGAGTGATAAAGTCCTAGAAGAATGTGCAGGAAGTGATGATTTGGGGTTAGATTTCCTTTAAGTGTGTGAAAAACTAGTTTTAAGATTTTTTCTAAGTCTGTAGTTGCAGAATTAACATAACTGAACTTCGATAGCTTTAAAAACAAATAGATTGGTGGTAAACCATACCCTTCTAAAGTTATGGTCTTTTAAGGTTGGGAGAGAAAAGTGAAGTCACCTGAAACAGTTTGTCTCTTTAAAATTTTATTATTATTTTTTCTTTATTTCAGAACCTTAATAAACAAGCATTTGATCTTGCAAAAGTCCTGTTGAAAAGGACCGTCCAGACCATTGAGCCATGTATTGCCAACGTATGTGAATTAATTAATCCGTTACCTACAAGTAACGTTCTTGTTACAGTCTTGATTTATTGGAGATTTGATTGTTTAAAAATATTTTTTATAAAAGTTATATTTTGTAATGCAGCTACAAGAATACCATTTTCCAAATGTGATATTTTTACCTTGGTTGTTAAAGAAGTGTGTGAGGTGTTTCAAGTAAGTGAAGAGGGAATTAATTTTTAGCCATCTCAGTCTAAAGTTAAGCCTAAATCTAGACTGTGAAAATAGGTAACCACCAAAAAATCCTGTCACAACAAAAGGGGTTGTTAGTACTTCGTGTGTCCAGCAACCAGCCTGCCTCATTTCATAACAAGCTTTAGGATGAAGCATTTCAAATTACCAGCTTTTTACTAGATTTTTTTTTTCCCATCCTAAACTTGTTTTAGTTGGAAAGACTAAAAGAATTGAGTTTTTTACAAGACTTTCTTCTACTATAATTCTTTCTGTTGAATGTCAGTGTTGTATGTTCTACCTATTAAAATATCTACTACAGTCTTGTTGGGGGGATGTGGTCTGGTCCGTTCTGTTGCCTTTCCTTGGTGCTGAAGCCAATAGAATTCTTAAAAGTCAGGGTAGTTTAAAAAAGGAATTAGGCAAATTCATAAAAGATTAATCAGTAAGTATTTAAAAGCTCATGAGTCTCACTAACAAGTACCACTTTCCAATTCCCCTGTTTCTTTTAGCTTTTGTAATTAGTCATAGCTGGAAACAGGATAGTGCATAGAGTGACCTTTGAGTTGATTTAATATTATTCTTCTTACTTTCTTATTCAAGTGTGTAATAGCTTTGTAGCATTTGCACTGCTCAAATAATATTAACCCACAGTATCTAATAGGAATTATATCAAGCATATTAAAATTTAACAAATCCAAAAGAAATCATTCATTTTATGCTACCTTGTTTTTTTCTGTTATATTGCTAACAACCTTGATACATTACCATCAAATATCACAGGACATACCATATCTGACATTCTTTAAAATGGATTAAAAGTAGAGGAGCTTCTTTTTCAACACTTGGTGATCCTCAATTTGGATTGGTTTTACATGATAAGAAAATAAAAAAATAAGATATTAATTTTTTTTCTCAACTTCTACTGGATGAATATGCATTTTAAATCAACAGTTCCTTTATTACCTGTTAATTTTGCTGGGGAGATGATTATTGATATTTTAAATTATTAAATTACCATGAATCATTCGATCCTGATGGAATTAATAGAACTGAATTATAAAGGGTGTTTGTTTGTAATTTGCTGGAGCCAAAACTGTAAGGGTGAAATGCTTTGATGTAATGAAAAAATGTGCATCAAGTACCTTCCATTAGAATTAAAGTATTAGTGATACTACATTAAAATAATTTTTTAAAATAGTTTTTACATTAATGAAGGAAAACCTGCTAAAAAATACTGTTTGTATTCTAGTTTTTTAACCAGGTTCTGGTACTGGGAAAGTCTTCAGTAAGTGACTTATCAGAACATGTGTTTGACTTGATACAAGAGCTTTTTGCCATAGATCCTCACTTACTGCTGTCTGTCATGCCACAGCTTGAGTTCAAGCTGAAGGTAGGTTACGATGTAGCTTTGGAAAAGTAATAAAAATTGTGTGGGTATTAAGAGTGCAGAGCTGTAGATTTAATGAATGCTCTACTGGAGGGATAAAAAAATTGTATTTATCACTCTATTTTAAATATAAACGGAATATTAAAGGAAGGACACTGGGAAGTTGTATACAATTGTGTGCTTTTTTGTGCTTGCAAATGCGTATTAATGGACACAAAATTAATTTATCATTATAAAAATAAATTCTTATGACCTAATGCAAAAGTTGTATGTACTTAATCTTTGGACTTCACCTGAACTTTATAAAGTAATTAGGCTGTGGCTGGCCTATCTCATGAAGTGCAAGTGTGTCAGCTTTACTATTGATTTGCAGAATGTTGGTTTGTGAGATAATGTTTTAATAACAGAGGAAGAATTTCTAAATATTTTCTCAGATTGTCATAAACAAGTAATAAGTCAGCTGACTTCTTTTGAATCCTTAGAAATAGTTAATTTATCCTGATTTGGGGGTTTGGGTTTTTTTAATTAAACAGCTATTTGTCTTAAGATTTTAAGTGGACAAGAGAAATAATTTTATGTGTGTGCATGTACATGTAGGTTATGGTGGCAACAAACAAAAATAACCAAGAAATAGGTATTTGGTGAAATTACATCTGTCTTTTATTAGTGCACATCTATTTATAACATCTTAATTGATGTCTTTTCCACACACATAAAATAGCCTTAAAATATGCTTTAAAACAAAAATAAGATCAGTCATTGTTGAAATCGTTAGGGATATGTATTACTCAAGCTATTGTGTGGGGGGTTTTATTCCTGAAAGAGAAGGCATTTTCAAAGCATGGCCATCTATTCAATGGCTGTAATATGTTAACTTAATAGGTATTTGTATATTTTTACTCATATTCATCCAATAATCTAATTAGGGAGACTGAGGAAATTATTTCAAACTCACTTTTTAATCTAACTTACAAAAGCAGAAGGAAAAGGAAGCCAGAAATTATTATTAAGGTATTACAGATAATGATTTACGGTTCCTTTTTCATGTTTTGATTTTTAGAGCAATGATGGAGAAGAACGTTTGGCTGTTGTTCGACTTCTGGCTAAACTCTTTGGCTCCAAAGATTCTGATCTGGCCACGCAAAATCGTCCTCTTTGGCAGTGCTTTCTTGGGCGGTAAGAGAAACAGAGAGAGAATTCTGAACAACTTCTCTTTTTGTTTTGAGATTTCTGATAGCATTGTGTTTTTAGAGGATGTGACTGTTTGTATTTGAACAAGTTCTTTTGTTAAATCTTTGAAGCAGAGAATTGCTTGCCGTTGTATTTTAGAACGAAGAAGCCTGAAGGACTGCTACTGTATTGCTGTCGGCTATGGGAATATAGGTTAGATAGAGATCACACTACATACATAGCAGAAATTACACAATAGATATACCAGCATTATCTGAAATTTCATACCGTTCAGCTATATCTGCAACTATACCTGTTTTATTTGGCATTTACGTTTTTGAGTGAAGAGGTATTTCCTACATAAGTAAATACAGAAATTTATAATTTTTTAAAAAGTGAATGTTTTCAAATGGTACATGTTTATATGGTGATTTATATTTTTATAATTTCATATATATACACACACAATTGACAGTGTATGGAGAATTATGTGCAAAAGTCAATGGACAAAATCCATTGGGCCAGCATTTCATCTGCATATAGCATATTCATCTTTTAATTTTAGTCGTGACTTAATTTCACAAGAAATAACACAGAAATTTCTATGAGGTACATTACAGAGATAAATTCAAAACATTTCTATTGTATTGTTTTGCCATATAGAAGTATTCTAATAGTTAATGGAACATACTATCAACACATGTTACTACATAGAGAATAATCTTGATTTGCAAGGCTAATTAAAAATTAATATTCATCATCTTCTATCCCTCTAGGTTCAATGATATCCATGTCCCTGTGAGATTAGAGAGTGTGAAATTCGCCAGTCATTGTTTAATGAACCATCCAGACTTAGCAAAAGACCTCACTGGTGAGATGCTCATACAGGGGTTTAGAATAATTTAAGAAATGAGCAAGGAAGAATGTAATTATTTCTGTACACAGCAGTATAGTTCTAAAATGTATGAAATCCAATGCTTGATGCTGGATGGAAGGGCTAACTACTGAGTAATTGCTTTCTGCTGAAGACAAGCGCTAGTTATTAGAAAGGGGGGAGTGTGTGACCTTGCGTGGACTTTGTCAGAGTGAGTTTTTAAGATGCTACCTATTGCAGAATGAGTTTTAAAGTAATTTCAGATTCTAATGAAACTTTTGGCAACTCAAAGCAAATACTGTTACGTCTTGATTTATTTTCAAAAACAGTCAGTGTGTTTCCCAGTACTCTCTTCCACTGAGTTTAGAAAATGCCATTTTGCTGATCTGAACTATGAAGTTTCTTCCTTCACTTCAGCATCATTTTAACTATGAACATAATGTCGGACATAACTGAAAATACTGTTCTTTTTTGATGCAAGCTAACATACAGCAATTGTCAGTATTTTTCATTATTTACCCTCTTAGCTCTTTGGGAATGAGAGTCTACACGTTTTATTTCTTCTCACTCCCCCACCCACCTTTATTTTCAATATGTTCTAATCAGCTTTATTTCACTTCATTGCTTGTTGCAAATGAGGTTATTGTAAAAGCTATTCGCTTTTATATTCTTCTGATATTTACAGTTATATAATTGGTTTATATTTAACATAGAAAATGCTGGAATAGATGTTTCCCATAAGCAGTTATATGTTCAATAGATTATATGGTTGTGATGTGTGACTGACATTTAAGTTTTTTGACATTACTAATAAATTGGAATACATCATACCTATATTTAAAAAGCCAAGCTTTTCATTGTTTCTGATCGTAACAGAGTATTTGAAGGTTAGATCACATGACCCAGAAGAAGCCATTCGACATGATGTTATTGTTACAATTATTACTGCGGGCAAGAGAGATCTTTCTTTAGTCAATGACCAGCTGCTTGGCTTTGTAAGGGAAAGAACGCTAGACAAACGGGTAAGTGTTAATATTTTATTTTCAGGAATATCTGCTTCTAACACAATTTGGTGAATGTAAACAAAAAAAAAAGCCACAGAAACAGAAAATTTTAGAGTTGACTTCATCAACTAGAACGCTGCAGGGAAAAAATAATTTTCTTACCAGAACATCTAAATGTAGATTCCATATTATGGAGGCACCAATCAAGTGTTGTCAAGCAAATAAGATCATTGACTTAAAGGAACACAATCATACTGTAAGAACATAAGAATTGCTACATATGTTTAGGCCAAAGGTCCCTATAGCCCAGTATAATTGTCATAGTGGTCAGTTTTGGCTTCCGGCAATTTGTGATTCAAGGATTCCTTAAATCTGTTTGATCATGTTCATCATAGCTTTCAATGGAACTTTATTCCATGGCTTTACAAAGTTCTTTCTTGAACTTATTTGCACTTCATAAGCATCCATGGCATCTGCATCAGTAAATTCAAGTTTAATGTATATGTGGAAAAAGTGACTTCACTTGTTTGTTTTAAACTTGTGTGATATTTTCACTGGGTATCTTGTAGTTCTTGCATTATGTAAAATTAAATATTCTTTGACACACTTATGATTATGATTAATACATATGTATACTGTATCTTCTCCACTCCCTTGCTTTCCAAGCTAAAGAATCACCTGATTAACTTCTACACAAATTTAATATTGCATACGACTGATCACTTCTTGTCTGGTTGTTCTATATTCTGTTGGAACCAAGGTTTCCAGGCTCAGCCATGACATTCAAGACGTGCACTGTGTTGTGTACATACTTTATGATGATTTTTTTTTTTCTTACTCTTTAACATTCTGTTTGTCTTTTACACTATTTCTGAGCACTGAGCTGACAATTTTGGAAAACATCCATGTTGACTTCAGCATCTTCCCTGAATAATTTTAAATGATCCATTGCCAGTACTGTATACATGCAGAGTTAATGAAGGTGGGAAAACCTGGCCTTAATCTGAATTTCTTTAATTTCATATTGTAACGATTCAGTAGCGTGACACTTTTTCTGCAGTTCTTCATTATAACGTTAGATCTGACTATGTCAGTAAATTTTATACATGCTGTTCAGTTGATTTTCTAATTATTTTTCATATATTGTGTCACAGATTGCCTTCTGACTCCATCAATAGGTTCCCTTTGTTCCCTTCACTGTGAAAACCAGTAATTTATTTCCACCCATTGTCTCCTGTGTTTTAGTTACCAATTAATTCACAACAGGATTTTTATTTTAAGATCCTCTGGTGTGAGATTTTGTTGGAAGTTTTTTGGGATCCTGAGTTTTTTTACTGATATACTTGTGGGTCTGCTAAAATATATTTTTTTCTTAGACAAAACTTCCCATTATGTGAAGTGTAATCGCTCATTCCCATAACTTCATTTTTCATCAGTGTCTGCTCTTTGTTGTGTTACTGTTCTGTTTCAACCTGTTTGCCCATTCAAAATCAGATGTTCTGGTGAGTGGCACTCTGTTCATCTTGCGATTCTTTGGTTTCTTTCACATTTGCTGTGTTCAATCTGTTCATTGACAGATTGCTATAACAGAATAGTTAGTATTTGGTGTATCATTTCTAAATTCCTGTAGAAGTCATGGATGGGATACCACCTGGTCTTAATGATTTTGTTACTACTCATTTTATTAATTTGTTTTAAAATGTCTTCTGATGACGCCTTAAGAAAACTCTTCAGACCTCTCTCCTGGAATAAATCTTACTTGTCTTTCAGCCCTACAGAAGGGTCTGGAAAGCTTCCTGCTTTTGGAGGCTTTGGTGAAGATGTTTAGTTAGTATGCTTTTAATAATCGGGTTCTGAAAGTTTTGCCATGCTTCATCAAGGATTTACCTTAAACTTGCCAGAGTTTATACTCTTTCCAGTTTCCACTCTTTCGGATGTGGCTCCATGCTCTTCGGAGCAGATGATATTTTAGTAGCAGACTTCACTGTGTTGTGTAGCCATGTTGATCTTTTTTGTTGTTGTTGTTCCTTTTTGATAGCGAGCATCCTTTCTATAACGAATGTCATTCTAGCTAGTTACTTCAATGATTTTAAAATAATATTATCTTTTTTATGTTCCTCTTTTTAAATGAGAATGTTACTGTAATGGATTTTGAGAAAAGGATGTCGTCTTTGCACACAGAGAAATACTGATTTTGAGTATGTTCACTGTTAAAAAGCAGCTTTTCAGTTAGTTGTACCTGCAGGTTACCTTGTACGTTTCTCAGGAGTGATTAAGACTACCTTCCTTCTTTTTCAGCCATTAAACAAACATGTCCAAAAAATCATCTATGAGATCTAAAAACTTTCAGTGTAGCCACCATTTCCCACTGCGACTTCCACCTAATCAGAATGGGGTGATTGTTACTGTGTCCTCTACATAGTGTCTCTGTTCTCCTTTAGCATGTCACCATCAGTAAGAGGCAGTCATTGTACAGCTGTAATACTCATTTCTACAGAGCTAGGGATCTTCAGTTCATATAGCCTTAAACTCAGTGTGGTACTTCTTAATGTTCCTGATATGTTTGACTCTTGATTTCACAGCAGTCGTAGGTTTGGTGATATATTACATTTCAAGGTTAGGTGCCTTTTCAGGCACTCATCAGCGAAGAATAACTTTATCTCTAGATGATGTTTCTCTTATAAAAATCTCTGGAGAGAGCTTTAATGAAAATACATCCTGAGGAGAAATCAAAATTGAGGATTGACTAGAAATGACTACAAATACTTAGCATTTGAAGTAGACCTTAACAATCTGGAGTGTCTTTGTAAAAATAATTAGTGTTATAAAGTGAATATCAAGGACTTGTAAACTTTCAGCATTTTTTTTTTAAGGATTTTTCTCCAGTTTGGGAGAGGGGCGTTGATATGTCCATGTAAATGTCTTTAAATTTTCTATGTAGGATTTTTTTCAGTTTCAGATATAGTGCATTATAAGTATTTTTAATTATTCCTTTGTTTTAAAGAGTTCTACTGTCTTCTGCTGACTGCATTTACCCCTTGTAGCCATGTTTCTGTTGGACAAATCTAGTGCAAACTCCTGAGTGATGATCCATCAATTTGACTTCATCTAATTCTTTTGGGGCCTGCAATCAACTATCAAATGAGTATAGATATTACAATAGAAAGAACGCCTGCCCAACAGGTTGAAGTAAAACACTGAATGTTTAAACACACTAATCTGTCATTTCAGCTTTGCTTTTTTCTTTATAAAACAAAGTGGAATCTAGAAAACTTTACATTTAAAGCATGCTAACTTATGGTATTTGTGTGATCTGTTTTTTCTCCTGACCATATGTAATTGGCACAGTATTAGTAAAGATAGCCTAATGACATTTTTGGGGTAAAAGGTTTTGGCTGAAAGACAGCACTTCGTTTTTTAAAAAAAATGTGCCTAGCTAACTTGAATCTGTATGGGCATTTGCACAATGGTTACAGCTTTTAAAAAAAACCAAACCAAAACAAAAAAAAACCCACAAAAAACCCCCCATAGCTCCCCTATAATTTTCAAATCCATTTTTATTGGTCCACTTGGAAAGTAACTCTGGGAGCAGATGCTTCCCAAAAACTGGAATCCAGTCTTTGGTAAGAATTGTTCTGAGGAATTTTCCATTGGAGCGCTGGCTCTAGGGTCTTTCCTGTGTCTTCACTTGTCAGAATAATTAGTTTCAAGAGACATTTAAACAAATTTTTTTTTAAAGTTTCTAAAAATGATTCAGTTACTCTTCCTTTTTAATGGGGTAACCTTAAGAACCTGAAAAGGTTCTTAGAGGAGACTTTTGACAGCTGACTTCTGTTCCAGTTCCTCCCAACAGCCTTTGTGGTGAGGGGCAGTGGGAAAAGTCTCTCATTTTCTATTTCTCCTTACCCATTTTTCTGCATGTGTTAGTTTTAGGTCCTCCTTCTCTGTGTGTACTAAAAACCATTGTGGCTTTTTCCAGATGAAGGAGAAAGATTTTAATATTCTTAACTCTATGGAAGGAATAGGTTAGGTATTCCAACAGGTAAGGGATTGTCTTGAACTTTCGATAACAGTTTTTTTTTTTAACTCAGCCCAGCAGTCTTCAGCAAAGGAGTTTAATTGTACTGCTTAACCGAGGAAGCTGAGACTGTCAAAATTCTTTTGTTAATTAAATCAGGGTAGTACTTCCATTAGCTGTGTTTATTGATCTGCTCCCTTTGAAACTGATTATTATGTTCCCCTTTATTTTCATTTGCCTTCATCTTTTACCCTACTGTATGCTGTTTCAGCTTTAATTCTCAGTAGCACCTTACTTCCCCCCCCCCACATACACACACCTGTATCTCCTGTTCAGTGACTTGCTTCCATGGTGTCTCAAAGCATTCTCTAAGGGATTCTGTCTAGTGCCTCCCATGTTATGCCTGAAACTGCCTTTCGGTGTGCTCTGATTTCTAGTCTCTACAGCAATTTCAACTATCAGAAATCTATTGACAATCCAAATTTCCTTTCCTTATAACCCCTTGTTAAGTACTCTGCTTTCATTTTAGGCTTAAATTTTCTAGAATAATTTCTTGCAATCCTTCTCCATTGTCTTCTGACAATAGTTTTGCTGTCCTTCCTGTCTCATAAAGGAGATCTGATGAAGCCATCACTTGCATTGGAAGGGTGTATCTGAATGCAGAAAAATATTAATACTTTTCTGAAAATGTTTCTCTTTTGGACCTTTATTTTCTTTAAAATGTGCTTCAGATCGTAATGGGTGTGAACAAAGTCCTGCAGAGAAGTTAAACAATAACAACTATATCTAAAATTTTTCTCTTTTGTGAAAACAACATTTTATACTGCATACTGTCAAAGTCATTACTGTCTTGATCTGTTACTTGTATTTTAATGTTTAAGAAATATGTAACAAAATACAATTTTATTTTTTCCATCTTCGTGATGTAACTTATTCTAACAGCTAGTGATGTCAAAGGCTGTTGTGCTGCCTAAGTCATATTATCGTCAAGATTTTTCTATTCTTCGCCCTTCAAGAAAAGGAAGTCACTCAGTAAAACTATTAAGAAATTAATAGTGAGATATCTCACTTGGTGTTATTAAAACAAGCCCTCAGTTTAGCAAGATTGAAGAATTGTGCATAACAGTACCTACATTTATGCTTGATAGGGTGTAATGATTCGAGCATTGTTAGTCCTTGGATTTCAAGGCCAAAATTGGTATATAGTGTGTTCTGAAAAAAATACTCTTTTCAGTCTGAATTGTAAATAGTGAGGGAAAACAAGTTTCTTCTGAGGCTTTCTGTGTAAATCATTCAGTGGGATATGCTGTTCTCTCTGAATTAATCCTTGGTCTGTTCTGGTGTGATTCCTTCCCACAAGTCAGTGCAGGAGAGTTTATGGATGTTGTCTGTTAAAATGTTTAATAGTGGGATGTTTCCTGGGGGAAAAAAATCCTAGGGGATAAAGCAGTGACCATGAAAAGCAAGGATGAGAACCCAGAACTCCATCTGTGGATGCTGCAGTCTGGCTTTTTCCTGGATCTCTGGAGTCTTACAGCGATTACTTTGAGGCTTCAGCAAAAAGGGCCTCCCCCACTGTCCTGGAAAGTGGCCTAAGAGTTCAAGCCCCAGCAAGTTTAGCTAGGCCTAAGCTCTGGATCTCCAATTTCTAGACAAGTGTGCTGTAAGACAGTGTAAAGCTGTGGGGTGAAAGAAGGCTGCCACCTCTGATTGGTGCCTGTCTCTGAAGAGATGAGTCTTACAAATCCTGGCTCAAGAAGGCACTTATTCAGGCATACGTGTTAAGCTGTACTTAACTTTTTTTTATACTGACTAGCTCCTAGATTTTCTTTGCTCAGCACAGAGGAGTACTGATGCATAGTACAGGAAAGAAACCCCTTACGTACAAATTCTCATTTAGACGGCATTTTTCAGCTTTTGAAGTGGCTAAATGTAGGAGGTCAGAATGTGGCCGTTTTGTCTTTCACACTTCTGCATCTTTACTGTGTTTTGTATATGTTTGATACTTATTTACCAAAACCACTTCCCCACCTCCTTTTCATTTCTTCCCCCTCAAGTGGCGAGTAAGAAAAGAAGCTATGATGGGTCTTGCCCAGCTATACAAGAAGTATTGTCTTCATGCCGAGGCTGGAAAAGATGCTGCAGAGAAAGTGAGCTGGATAAAGGATAAACTTTTGCACATATATTATCAAAATAGCATTGATGACAAGTGAGTCAACCTAAGCCTTCCTAATGTTCATTGTATAGTGATAAGAGCTACTCTGAAAATATGTGCTTATCCTGAGAAAGCTGTTATATCACATTCTGTATTTGTGGTATTAAGTATGCTATATTTAATTAGTAACTATTAAGAAATGTGCCAAGATATTCAGGATGGTTGCATTATCTGTTCATGTATTCATTCTATTTACTGATGGAACTAGATCTGTGATTATAGTAGATTGTCATTAACTAGCTACTGTGTAGAAAAAAAATTGCAAAATTTTGCATTTACTGTACCCAGTTCTCGTTTGCCTTACTACTTTCCAGGGGCTAGCATGCTAAAATCCATGACCTGTGAGCATTGTGCATGTACGCACCACAGTATCTCCTTTTGGTATGCTACGTAGAAATGGACCTTTTAGGTGAAACAAAAGCTGAAGAAATATCAGGGGTGCTTCCACTGTTGTCTAGTCTTCCCTGCTTTGTCACTTTAATTTTTGAAATACCATTTTGGCTTAGAGAAAAGTATTTTGGCCAAGGTTTCGGAAGATAGTTTTCAACTCGTCACTATTAATTCTTTGGCTTTCACAAGGAAAGCCAGACTATGAGATCACACAAAGATAGAATTTCAGCCTAGATTTTTAATACAGTAGACTTGGAAACCAGCCATTTCTTTATAGCATTTCTTAGCATCTTGTGTATCCACTCTGCTACCTCAGTATGTTTTGTGACCTTAGTGACTAGTCTGAATGGGCTAATAGCCTCCTTCAGTTGCCAGCTATGACAGTGAATTCTTACCACTGCAGTGGTGAAGGCTCTCGCTTTGTTCATCTGGCTGGTCATAAGCGGGCCAGAGTTACATATTCGATTAGTTGCGCTTTTTTTCCCCCAAAAAAGAAGAAAGATACACTTATGAGATTGTGCGCACAGAAATTACACTGAAAGTCTGCTGAGGTAGAAGTATCAAATAGTGAAAAATTAGGAAATCTCCACATAGTTTATACAAGGTAATTCTTCATATGTGTATGTATTAAATATGCTTTAGTTTGCATTGAGAAGTTAGTTCATGGTTTTTCTAGCGTGTTCATGTCTCGTTGTCAGTACACAGGTTTAATATAGTGAGCAGGGAGTGAATCAAAGTTCCATAGTGAATGGGGCAGATGTTTTCAATATTCCTGCTCACGGGAAATGCAGAACACTGTCAGGGAAATGAGGCAAGGAATTTTAAGGAAAGACTGTGTCATCAAAGCTGAGTTTCTTTCTCTGACATGATTTCTTCTGAAAGTCTGATTAAGCCTTTGAGACTGGTCTTTGCATGAATAAGCATGGATTGTATGCTGTTTATTTTCTGGGTATCCACACTGAAAGATTGGTGGCTTGATTTTTCAGTTTTCCTCTAGTTCAGTTTGGTACCCTGAATTTTAATCCAAATTCTACTAGTTTTTAAGGCTGATAATGAAGTTCTTGCTTAGTCGCATCATTGGGTTGGTTTCCCCACCTCAGAGTGGAAGAATAAATGCATTTCAATGTTATCATTGTCAGAATTAAGAAGTTAGTACTTTCAGCACCTGAAGAGCTGTAGAAATACTATGATCTTTAAGACAGAGTCCATCCAGTCCTTCAGACACACAAGCATGGGTCAAAATTAGCCAACTCTGGCCTGTTTCCCTTCCATAATGAGGGAGGAGGATAAAAAGTAACAGTGAATGTCTGTCTGAGCTGTGGAGTATTTTCTATTGTGTGCATGGGATAACATTAGTTCTTTCCAAAAATAATAGCACAGTATCACACAGTATTCAGGCATGAAGCGGAACAGAACAATTATTCTCCACACATCCTCAACTCAGTCACTTGCTAATGTTTTTGATGTTACTTGGCTACTGATGTGCGTGTCCACTCAAGACTGAGCACTTCCAACTATAAGAACTGCTTATCACCTGGGTGCTTTGAGCTTCTTTGTTTTACAGCAAATGCATAGGGAATGGAGTAAAATAACCACATCTTAAACACTGCACTGACACCCACTCCTGATATGCTAGCCAATGACTTCACAGGAGGAAAGTGTCCCAGAGGAATTCCCTGTTTGTAAATCTTTACCCTAAACTGACATGGACCGGGGAAGGCATGATACAGTCTCACCATTTGTTTTGACAGCTTTTCTAGAACATGTATCTGTAGAGATAAGGGCTAGAGCAATGCTCATAAATTAGTAAGATAACTCTGATGCCTCCAGTCTCCTAGGATGTTAAACAGAGATGAGTCTCCTGAGATCTGAAGATCCTGTTCCCCTAGTAATTTAGTTCTTGGAGTCATCGGAAGTATGTTTAAAGGGAGAAAGCCGGTTTTCTTTAATATTAACGGGGTGCCTTGAGATAGTTGTGTCCATATTTGTGATCATCCTTTTATTCCAATGTCTTGCCATCATATCGCTTGGAATTTTCTTTGAGCAGAAATAAGGTGTGTTTGACCTGTGCTGCCTTCTATGTTTTTTATACAAGGCACTCCCAAAGTACTTAGTAGGAATCATAGTGAAAAAGTTCATAAATTCCAACACACAAAATATTTGTCCATAAGTATCAAATTGTATAGCTGAACACTGTGCACAGCTGTCATTGCTATGGATTAAATTAATGTCTGAGTGTTCTTTCATTTGGGGGGCTATAATTAGCGGAACTGTATAGTCATATTTTCTAGTTCAAGTTTTGTATTTTATGTAAAACCTTAAATATGTATTACTGCTTTTTAAGATATAATTGGGGAACATTTTTACTGGTTTGATTTGCTCTCATTTAGTTTCCCTTTTGCTCCTTTTGTGGTATATGTTTTGCTGTTCCTTTGTTTCCACCTTTTAAATGCTGATTTTTAGCTTCTGTGTTAGAATAACGATTAGTTTCAAATGCTTTGCTTTTTTCAAATACTACAGTCTTATCTTAACCTTTCCATCGAGGATACTTTAGATTTTTACTTTTCCTCCCCCTCGAGTTATATTCTTATATTCTTTCTCCTTTATTTGGGCTTTTTGCTGTCTCTATCGCTTTCTCTTACGTATGAGAGAGAACAAAGGGAGATTCTCAGAGCCTAAAGAAAAAGGAGTATCTGGATGGTGACAAATAAAGCAATTACTCCCTCTTAGAGCTGAAAATGAAAGAACATGGAAAAGTTCTCAAGAAGCAGTACTTGCTAATCTTTCTATCAACAGTGGAAGGGATCTTTACAGATGAGAAAAAGACCATTACTTTTTTTTTCTTCTCTGAAAAATCTAGTTTCAGTGACTTCCGATATTTCTTGTTCTTTCAGCCTGTCTGAAAGGTATCACTGCTTTTGGAAACGTACAGTTTTTATCTCCTTTTTTGCTGCAGATTACTGGTAGAGAAAATCTTTGCTCAGTATCTCGTTCCACACAATTTGGAAACGGAAGAGC